CTTGAGCACAAACTGGTTCTCCACTGTCCTGGAGGGAGAAACAGGAAGAACTACTCGTTTTCTAACGATGAGGTCCTATGCATAGATCGAGAAAATCAACGACTTCTTCAGGAGTTGTCACGCCTTTCTTCAGCACCCAGCTCGAGGAAAGCCGCTGTGAAGAAAACCTGTGTAGCCTCACCTCTGGTTCACGTTGCTCACAGTGCACTTAACAGGAAGAGGGAGCAACAACGCATTGAGCGGGAGAACCTGGTGAGTAACAAGGCTTTGGTGAGAACTTATTACTTTATGTTTATTTGTTGCCATTAATCAGTCTGAAAAGTTATACACAGACATTCACGCTATTTAAAGACAAAGAGTCATTGTTTAGTTTTCCTTTTTCTGTCCTTTTATTTTCATACATGGTATTTACAATTCATTATGGGTTACAACCAAAGTTAGAAGTATAAAGTTATGAGTCAATTATTTATTGTGAGACGTGCTAATTTCTTTAAAATGTTTAGATGACTTGTTTAGATGTGCCCAAGCTGTTTGACACGTAATGGATGACCAGAACGATTGCATTTCACCCACCATCTTTCATGCCAGACTTCTAGACTGATGTTAAGAAATGACAACATTGTCGATTTTTTAATCAAACTTTGAAACTAACAAAATGTGCAGTGTCATGTGATGTTGAAGATGTTCAGAGTGTTGTGAATGACTCCCATCAGGTATATCTGTAAAGTTAACAGAGTTGTAGACGTTTTGTGTTTGCTAATGTCCATTACCTGTTTTGGTCATCTGGACTAAGGTTCTGTTAGAGTGTTTATAACTTCTTTTTTTTTGCTAACAGACAAACAGGGTGGATTCCAACCATTTATACTAATTTTTAAGCAAACAATTTGCACAAGGATTAGCAGTTTGTGTTTTTATCTGTAAATCTGACTGAGTTATAGCTATTTTTGCAGTTTCTAAACTCAGTTGGCTGTCAGCTACCTTCAGTGGAATTTACTCCAAAAGTTAATAAATAATAATGGTCCATTAAACAGCTAACTCCAGAATTTTTCATTAAAATTTATTCAAAGCGATTTTGGTAACAGACACGAGCAAAAACATTGTTCATTTTTGTCTTTCGGCGGCTGGTCAGAATCAGTCAGAAACACTGTTGAAATGCTGGAAGCTTGGAGGAGGGTGAACCATGGTCTAAATCTCTACAGATTACCGTGAATGCTTTGGRGTGTTTGTAGCTCAGCAACACCTAAACTGATGACATCTAATGCTGCATCACAATGGCTCTGTCAAAACAACTCAAGGGAAATCAGACAACATACATAGAAAATCACAGGTAATTGTTCAGTTTGTAGGATGCAGGGATGCTCCTCGTGATACCAACCTAGAGATCTTTGAATTGCAAGGATCCTTATATCGAATCGTGATTCACATAGCTCAAAGATTACATGGTTTATATAGAAATGGGTTACATAGTGTCCTTTTTTTTCTAGACATGGGGTAGAATAGTCAAGGTTCTTATGCTGACGTACGGTTTTTGCTAACTGCACTACAAGACAAAAATTTTAAAAAATGAGAGTTCCAGCTGGAATTTTCAAAACTTGATTTGCTACAAACAGGACAGACATTCAGATTAGAGTGAAAGACTCAGCTGATCAGGTTTCCCCTCTTTGGCACTTTAAGGATGTTCTATTTGGTATTATAGAGGTGGTCATAATGTAATGGCTGATTAGTTTATAAGGATACTAATCATTCGGGGTTATTTGGTCTGGAGACCCACCTCTGAAAACTGACACTGAACTTTAATAGACAGCAGCAGGTGGGGGGGCTTGGAGCAGTGCTACAGAGTGACAAGAGACAGCTCAAACTCTGACGTTTCACACACGCCCACACACACGCACACACACACAGGTTTGTATTTCTATCCTTATTAGGACCGTTCATTGACTTCCATTCATTTCCAGTAATTTCTACAGCCCTGATGACAAACCCTAAGGCTAACCTCACAGGTACCTCACCTGACCCTAAAACTAACCTAAACTCAGTTCACACCTTGGTCCTAAACCCAACC